AAAGAAAACCCAGTTCTCCCACATCACTACAGTTCATTTGTCTGTAGTCCACTACAGAGCAGTTCTGTAAACATCCACAAGCTGGTATACAGAGGGTCATTGTCATGGTAAAGCTGGGATTTGAACCCATGACCAGTGGATGAAAGCAGTAACACTGTGACCACTGGGTCACCCATGCCCACAATGTTGGAGTAAAGCTTCAAACAGTCAGGTAGTTGGAGCAGCAATATCTACATTTAAAAAAAAAATGGCTGCAGGTTGTAACAGTAAACAAATCTTCAAAATTTTCTGGTCTTACTTTTCTTTCCCTATCAACTGACAATCTGACAAACCAAGAACATAATGAGTGAATCGAGGATTCAAACCCTCATTCATAGGTTCCTGCCATACCAAAGGGGCACAACTCAGCACAGTGAATTGCAGTACCTTAGATGACTGTACCACACATCTCTACTGTAAAACAGGAAGTGATAACATGAATAAGTACATCTTAATATGGGTATTCTAATCCCCAACACTTTCCTACTCTCACAGAAAACTCAGTTATCAGTCAGGTCAATAAACAGTATTATCACCCAGGTGGGATGAACACTCCCTTGCTTTCAAGAACTACAGATACTCAGCCACGACTGTGACCACCAGATTGCCCTTTATGGCCGGTGAAACGTATCTTCCTTACACTCCCATAGGGGAAGTACTGTTCACTCAGCCATAGATGGCAATAGATGCCATTCATCAAAATATTGCTTCAGGTGAGTAACTTTAAACTAGCATCATCACTACAGCTCTCTGATCTCTGAATAAGGGGGTTGAACACCACTTTGTGCAGTCTTTCATTTATATCAGATGAGCCTGATGTTGGGGAAACTGTCAAGTGATGCATGTAGAAGATGTTAAACACTTTAAAATGGGTATGGCCTGACAAACCAAGGCATGTCATACAATTCAAATTCTAAAATCACTGGTTCCTGTCACACCTAAGGTACACAACTCTGTGGTGCATTAGAATGGAACGTCCATCCCTTGGGAGCGATGAAGTGAAGAGGTTTTATCTTAAACTCTGAGAAAACAGTCACCATTCAGGTTAACTATGTCAATACTGCCTAGCAGGGGTGTAATGTACTCCAGGAGTCCTTCACACAAGAACGTTCAACACATGCTCAACCATCACCGTGACCACTGTCATTAAGTCCTTATGACACATGTTCTTGCTCACATCCCAGAAAAACAAGTCTTCTGATTCTTTGAGAGGAGACATATTAGAACTTGCATTGGTGAAGAAAACCAAGTTCTATCAATAGTCAACATGTTTATTGCTATGAATGCGACATTTCGGTGTAGGTACTAACACCATTATCAAGCAAGTCATCACTTGCTTGATAACGGTGTTAGTACCTACACCAAAATGTCGCACTCACAGCAAGTCTTCTATTGACACCATTCTTCAAATTACTACAAGTTGGTATTTTAGACAGTTTGCGCATTAAGAGAAGCTTTTATTTTGATTCGACATACATTAGAATGACATAAACATATTCAATGAATTACAATAAATTATAATTGTTTTGAACCAATTCACCAATGATTGTATTCACTTAAAATCTTAAATCAACCCAGATATGGTAAAACTCCAGCTCAATTGCATGCAATCATAACTATTTGACCACCGGAGAAGTATTACATGTTCGCTGTCAGTTCAGAGGCTGTGACGTCTGTATGGGAAGAACACAACAACCTGGAAATGAATTAACACTAATCTTACTGGCAGCAATTTCCAACTGTACAGGTAATCAATACCCTGACAAGATTACTAAACCAAGATGGTCAGGACCAGGCACACACCCAGATGCAAAATATATCTCACGTCTGCTAGATCTGCTCTCTCTGCTCAGAAACAGACACTGACTGGACTGGGAGGCCATTTGGTCAGTCAGACTCTGGTTATCCACAGTCATGAATGAACACACACAAACACTGAAAGAATGAACCAACATTTGACTGTGCCAGAACAAATGTGAATCTTTCAATGTAGTTTTATATATGTCTGCAAATATTCTATCAAAGAGCAAGTGAAATACAGAAGTGTGAATATTTAAATATGGTCAAAGATGGATATAAAATGTATTTTCAAAAGCATTTTGTCTCATCTTCAAGAAATTATGACTGCATACAGCATGTACTGGTAGTCTGTCTCACAATCCCTGAAATGCATTATTTCATTTCCGCCCAGCCCTTTCTGTAGTACTAAAGCCATAAATGAAGCAAGTCTCGATTTCCTCAGGTTCTGAATCTCCCATCTCACTGGGGGTCCTCTTCAATTTAAAATGAATTATTTGTTTCTATCAAAATTCCATATATTCAAAGACTAAACGTTACTCTACATGTACTAGTTAACTTTATGTAGAGGAAATATATCAGTGAGAAGAACTATCCCTAATATGTCTTCAGTGTTTTCATCAGTGAGTTAGTGAGTGAGTTTAGTTTTGTGCAATTGGGAACCGATGACATGTGTCAACCAAGTCAGCGAGCCTGACCACCCGATCCCATTAGTCGCCTCTTACGGCAAGCATAGTCGCCTTTTGTGGCAAGCATGGGTTGCTGAAGACCTATTCTACCCCGGATCTTCACGGGTCTGGATCATCAGAGACTGCAGAGTGTTATGGGTTGAACACCACCATGATAAATATCAAAGCTGTATCCATGAATCTCAACTCAAAGTTGGACCCACAAGCATGGGTTACGTGATGACAATGTATTAACCAGGCAATCTACCTACCACAGCAGGCATTATATATGAGACAATTATATAAATGGATACGTATGTTTATTCACCAGGAAAGCCATTAAGTGACTTTAAATGTGCCATGCAAGGTGAGCCAATTATTGGTCAGCGACCAGGAACAATATGTTGGTGTTATCTCCATTGCTATCAGCTGACACCTAGCGAGGCCTTGTCCCACCTTTAACCATTACTGGAGATATCATCATAACATCAGTGGGTGGGTGAATACACACAGTAACACTGGTTTCACTAGACATCAGTGGGGAATACACACAGTAACACTGGTTTCACTAGAGATCAGTGGTGAATACACACAGTAATACTGGTTTCACTAGACATCAGTGGGGAATATACGCAATAACACTGGTTTCACTAGACATCAGTGGGGAATATACGCAATAATACTGGTTTCAGTGGTGGATATAGATAATAACACTTGTTTCCTGAAACGGTGGTGTAGTATGCATTATTGGTAGCGGTAGTTGTTACAATCTTTTCAAATTGGGTACCCAAACTGTATGTTCTTAAACAATAACATAGTATCAACATGCAGCTAAACAGATTCACTATCAAAAGCATTCAGTGTACTGGTAGTACACATCCTCTCATATCACAATATTCATTAAAGGATTTCTTGACAACTGCTGTTTGAACAATGCACCAAATTACTAATCTCTAAACAATATTCTTTTTTCTAAATAATCTACTTATTCAATCCTGGCACAGACACATATTTTTTTCCCCAATTTTTTTCATTACAAACAATATTCTTTTTTTCTAAATAATCTACTTATTCAATCCTGGCACAGACACATTAAAAAAGCATTTCCCTTTTTCAGAACTATGTTTAGCTTTCAAGTTCCTTATGACACTGACAGCTGTCATTAGCATCTTGAACATCCTATCTTGCTGGGGAGACTTTTTGTATAGTGAAGTATTTTAAGAAAGGATTTGTCTTCTCTTTAACCCATCTTCACATGAATTCCACTTTGTAGGTAAACTGGACATCGGTTGGCATGACAACTTCACAATACAGCTATCATGTTTGTTGTTAACCAGGGCACTCGGCAATATGACACTGTAAATAACCAGACCAGTTAAACCAGGGGCACACAGCAATATGACACTGTAAATAACCAGACCAGTTAAACCAGGGGCACTCGGCAATATGACACTGTAAATAACCAGACCAGTTAAACCAGGGGCACACAGCAAAATGACACTGTAAATAACCAGACCAGTTAAACCAGGGGCACACAGCAATATGACACTGTAAATATCCAGACCAGTTAAACCAGGGGCACACAGCAATATGACACTGTAAATATCCAGACCAGTTAAACCAGGGGCACACAGCAATATGACACTGTAAATATCCAGACCAGTTAAACCAGGGGCACACAGCAGTATGACACTGTAAATATCCAGACCAGTTAAACCAGTGGTTGATACAAAGTACACCCACACAGTGAGGTTCCATTAGTCTGTGACATGCTAGTTGATATATATGTTATAAGAACAGTTTTAAAGGGGAAAAGTATCATATAAATAAAATATAGATTCTATCCCAACAACATCAACAATGGGCTTAATAAATGATATATTAATTGTACCAAGATCACATGTGTGAAACAAAATGTTGACATCTTGGGGATGGAGATTGATAGAAGATATCTCCCACACAAAAGCCACATCGCCTTACCAGACAACAGAGACTCACAATAGCTGGTTCTCTCTTTGTTCAACGTCAACCTCACCCAGAGTCATCTGGACCATGCATTGCATTCACTTACCAACACAACTCATCGTTTATGAGACATTAATCATAAAAATATCCAACCTGACTGTAACAAGAAGAAAACAACAACATATGAGACCAAAACAAACTCCATTTCCATGCAATAACACAACTCATTCACAGGGAAAGGTCTGTATTGGCATCTGTACATGTTCATACAGACGCTAACCAGTGATACTGATATAAATCATATATCAAGTTCACTGGCTACAAACAAGTATATTCCCCAAGCCCAGAAATCACCTTGAAAGGCCAGCTTTCTCTGTGATTTGGTCGGTCCACAATGACCTAGATTGATGAGTTCTGGCCAAGCCTAGGCAGACGCTAGTAACATTCCGTAAAAGGAAGAAATTAGCTGTTGGAGGGAAAAACAAAAACATTTCACACTACTTCATAGAATGACAAAATTGCAAAAGTTACCTTTTGTTCAAAATCGTCCTATCCATGGACTGGAAGTTGGTGTCTGCTTGGAGCTCCGAGTGTGTACAGGGCAGGCCAAACGAAGCGTGTCACCACTGAGTGGGTGTCAGGCCTACAAGGCCTAGACCATGAAGGGAATGTGAGAGAGAGAGAGAGAGGGAGCGCAGCGTGGATCACGGAGGTATGACAGCAAACAGTGTGGCGGACACACCTATACAATGGCTCCCCTCCCACACACTGACCACCAGCTCTGCCTGCATGTATCCCTCTGTTGACATGTGGGATTCATCTACACTCAGTTATTGAAACATCGAGAGCCATTTCTTGCTAGGTTGTCTGGGGGAGGCATATGAAGGCACATGGACAAACAAAAGATGTGTTTGCACAGACTCATGGCCTTCGATAAGCATGGATGATGGGACCATTTCTGAATAAGTCCTACTGACAAAGGCATTTTTATGATTACACTTCATAATGTAAGAAATGACTTAACGGAGATAATTAATCGCGGAATTTCTGCAACCGACCTAATATAGCCTAATCTCTACACAATTTTGTGTGCATGTGCATGAAGGTGTGGGAGTGATGTTCCGCATCATTTGTAGAAGTCTTGTCTTGTGTAAATCATGAATGGATGTTACACTAGACTAAAGCTGGATGCCAGGTCACACCAGGTTAACTGACCTTGTCCAGGTAAACTACTTCATCCCTGTTAAACACTGTAACCACTTATTACCCCATTTTCATTAATCAGCACATTTAACATGCCTTACCGACTTTGCTACAAACATTATTTATTTATTCGCAACACCACCATGGGACACACTACCTCAAAGAGACATTTACAACTGATGGGCTTCACAGCTGTCATAATGATCAATTACACACAACATGAAACTTGTAATTAGGAATATTGTATATATACGGATGTAAAACAGAAACCCACTTACAAAAGGTAACACTGAAAGCAACATTCAACAAAACAGCCTTCCAGGAAGGACATGTCATAAAAAGTTACTATTTTAGATTCAAAGTTACATTCAACAATTGGCTGGAGTTGTAGTTCAAATAAAAAAACCCACAATTATGTGCCATTAACAAATGTTATTTCTTAAAATGAAGTTTAATTACTTGAGTGTTTGGACATCAGTTCAATACCTGTGTTACCTGGGGCTGTTACAGGACACAAGGGTGTCAGCTTCCCTAACACTTATAATTAGTTGTAATCCGATAGTAGTGCACTGGCCAAGGGCACCTGGGGCACCTGACTGGTCATTCTCAGGCCATGTCATCTTAGAGGTCACTTCATTCACAATGCTGATGGGAAACCTCAAGTGAGTGTTATCATCAGGAACACAATGGCTGTGAAGTCACCACTACGGCCTTGGAGTGGGTAACAGGCAATACAAGCAGCTGACATTGTCTTTCTCTTCACCAATTCCATCACAAAAAGACCACTTTCAATGTAATATGTATATAGTTGATTTGTTCAGTTCTCTGCAGAGAGAAACTGTTGGGTTCACTTAAGTTCAGTAACAACTGTAGCTGCTTCTAGCTCCTATTTCTCATGCTGACATGTTAAAGCAATTTTCCAAATACTGTACTTAACCTGATACTAAACAAAAACCAATGTGACTAGTGTTTACAGCACATCATCAACATATCAGCCATCATTGTACATCATTTAAATATCTTCCAAAAAGACAAATACATATAAATATACTGCAGTACAAAGGGCTTTCTTGCAGCATTTGGCAGTCAGTGTTTTCAGCTGAACACAAAACACTGATGTCACTGGAGTGAGAGAGTGAGAGGTTTCACACCTTTTGGTAGCAATAATCCTGCAAAATCATGATTGTTAGCACCAGAAATTGGCTCAAACATTGTGCTCCTGTAGGGGAATCAAACCTGTGCCCTTGGTGTGATGAGCAAACACCTTAACAACCAGCTTACTCCACCACCCCTATGTCAGTGGATGTTCCTGACATGCTATGAAGTTCACACGCTCTTCTAAACTCAAACAAACAGGAGTAAAAAAATCTTTTCAAAACTGAATTCTCAGCAAAATGATGAAAGATCTTTTTCAGCACTGACCATAAAAAGTAAGATTGAAAAGCAAATGAGACCATAATGCTAAAGTTTCTTTTCTGAGAATATTACAAACTTATTATATACTTAAATGTGAAAGACTGGGATTTCTGAGTTTGAGAAAAGGGATAGTTTTATTGCAATGACAGACATTGATATTTTCATTTCTAGCTACATAAAATCATCATCATCATGAAGCAATCGAGGTATCAGTGTCTGGTGATATCATCATCGTCATGAAGTACAAGAGGTATCAGTGTCTGGTGATATCATCATCGTCATGAAGTACAAGAGGTATCAGTGTCTGGTGATATCATCATCGTCATGAAGTACAAGAGATATCAGTGTCTGGTGATATCATCATGAAGTACAAGAGGTATCAGTGTCTGGTGATATCATCATCATCATCATGAAGTACAAGAGCTATCAGTGTCTGGTGATATCATCATCATGAAGTACAAGAGGTACCAGTGTCTGGTGATATCATCATCATGAAGTACAAGGAGTATCAGTGTCTGGTGATATCATCATCATGAAGTACAAGAGGTATCAGTGTCTGGTGATATCATCATCATCACCATGAAGTACAAGAGATATCAGGGTCTGGTGATATCATCATGAAGTACTAGAGGTATCAGTGTCTGGTGATATCATCATCATGAAGTACAAGAGGTATCAGTGTCTGGTGATATCATCATCATCATCATCATGAAGTACAAGAGATATCAGTGTCTGGTGATATCATCATCATGAAGTACAAGAGGTATCAGTGTCTGGTGATATCATCATCATGAAGTACAAGAGGTATCAGTGTCTGGTGATATCATCATCGTCATGAAGTACAAGAGGTATCAGTGTCTGGTGATATCATCATCATCATGAAGTACAAGAGGTATCAGTGTCTGGTGATATCATCGTCATGAAGTACAAGAGGTATCAGTGTCTGGTGATATCATCATCATCAAGTACAAGAGATATCAGTGTCTGGTGATATCATCGTCATGAAGTACAAGAGGTATCAGTGTCTGGTGATATCATCATCATCAAGTACAAGAGATATTAGTGTCTGGTGATATCATCGTCATGAAGTACAAGAGGTATCAGTGTCTGGTGATATCATCATCATGAAGTACAAGAGGTATCAGTGTCTGGTGATATCATCATTGTCATGAAGTACAAGAGGTATCAGTGTCTGGTGATATCATCATCGTCATGAAGTACAAGAGGTATCAGTGTCTGGTGATATCATCGAAATGAAGTACAAGAGGTATCAGTGTCTGGTGATATCATCATCATGAAGTACAAGAGGTATCAGTGTCTGGTGATATCATCATCGTCATGAAGTACAAGAGGTATCAGTGTCTGGTGATATCATCATCATCATGAAGTACAAGAGGTATCAGTGTCTGGTGATATCATCATCATGAAGTACAAGAGGTATCAGTGTCTGGTGATATCATCATCATCATCATGAAGTACAAGAGGTATCAGTGTCTGGTGATATCATCATCATGAAGTACAAGAGGTATCAGTGTCTGGTGATATCATCGTCATGAAGTACAAGAGGTATCAGTGTCTGGTGATATCATCATCATCATGAAGTACAAGAGGTATCAGTGTCTGGTGATATCATCGTCATGAAGTACAAGAGGTATCAGTGTCTGGTGATATCATCATCATCATGAAGTACAAGAGGTATCAGTGTCTGGTGATATCATCGTCATGAAGTACAAGAGGTATCAGTGTCTGGTGATATCATCATAATGAAGTACAAGAGGTATCAGTGTCTGGTGATATCATCGTCATGAAGTACAAGAGGTATCAGTGTCTGGTGATATCATCATCATCATGAAGTACAAGAGGTATCAGTGTCTGGTGATATCATCGTCATGAAGTACAAGAGGTATCAGTGTCTGGTGATATCATCATCAAGTACAAGAGATATCAGTGTCTGGTGATATCATCGTCATGAAGTACAAGAGGTATCAGTGTCTGGTGATATCATCATCAAGTACAAGAGATATCAGTGTCTGGTGATACCATCGTCATGAAGTACAAGAGGTATCAGTGTCTGGTGATATCATCATCATGAAGTACAAGAGGTATCAGTGTCTGGTGATATCATCATTGTCATGAAGTACAAGAGGTATCAGTGTCTGGTGATATCATCATCGTCATGAAGTACAAGAGGTATCAGTGTCTGGTGATATCATCGAAATGAAGTACAAGAGGTATCAGTGTCTGGTGATATCATCATGAAGTACAAGAGGTATCAGTGTCTGGTGATATCATCATCGTCATGAAGTACAAGAGGTATCAGTGTCTGGTGATATCATCATCATCATGAAGTACAAGAGGTATCAGTGTCTGGTGATATCATCATCATGAAGTACAAGAGGTATCAGTGTCTGGTGATATCATCATCATCATCATGAAGTACAGGAGGTATCAGTGTCTGGTGATATCATCATCATGAAGTACAAGAGGTATCAGTGTCTGGTGATATCATCGTCATGAAGTACAAGAGGTATCAGTGTCTGGTGATATCATCATCATCATGAAGTACAAGAGGTATCAGTGTCTGGTGATATCATCATCATGAAGTACAAGAGGTATCAGTGTCTGGTGATATCATCATCATCATGAAGTACAAGAGGTATCAGTGTCTGGTGATATCATCGTCATGAAGTACAAGAGGTATCAGTGTCTGGTGATATCATAATAATGAAGTACAAGAGGTATCAGTGTCTGGTGATATCATCATCATGAAATACAAGAGGTATTAGTGTCTGGTGATATCATCGTCATGAAATACAAGAGGTATTAGTGTCTGGTGATATCATCATCATGAAGTACAGGAGGTATCAGTGTCTGGTGATATCATCATCATCATCATCGTCATCATGAAGTACAAGAGGTATTAGTGTCTGGTGATATCATCATCATGAAGTACAAGAGGTATCAGTGTCTGGTGATATCATCATCATCATGAAGTACAAGAGGTATCAGTGTCTGGTGATATCATCGTCATGAAGTACAAGAGGTATCAGTGTCTGGTGATATCATCATAATGAAGTACAAGAGGTATCAGTGTCTGGTGATATCATCATGAAATACAAGAGGTATTAGTGTCTGGTGATATCATCATCATGAAATACAAGAGGTATTAGTGTCTGGTGATA